TATATATATATATATATATATATATAAGTTATAATATATTCACAAATAAAATTTTCGTTAGCCTTGATAACATAATGCGTTAATTAAAATTGTAATAAAAATATTTTTTTGATTAATTGTATTTCGATATATATTATTTAAATATATGTATTATAGTTTTCTTTTAGGATTGTAACATTTTTATTTGTTTTTTTTCTTCTACTATAAGATTAACATTTAACATATAACAATTAATTATAACATTAGGATTTAATTGAGAAATTAATCCGGCACTTAAAAATTAAAAAAAATTTACATAATAAATAAACGTACGTTTATTATTTTGTTTTTTTTTTTTTGTTTTTTTTACAAAAAAATACACAAACTTATAACTTCTAACTAATCTTGTAATTCAATAGATATCTTTCTGTCATTGATTTTTTTTCAATACCTCATAGTGTTATGTAGTGTCGAAACTATTGTAAATCTTGTTCAATTTTATAAGTATTTTAACGCTTTTTGCAGACTAGATACACAATGGATTCAAATCAATCAAAATATGTAAACATCCAATAAATTTACTTCAAAGAATAAACACATATGTATATAACATGTATATGTACGTAGTAATGAAGACTAGTCTTTCCTAATCTTTTTGATACATCTTAATAAAGATTTTATACAATAACAATTAGAAAGAAAATTTTTATTTAATTACAAAAGAAATATTATGGTTAAAAAAAAAAGAAAAATGTCGATGAAAATGAAAGTAATTATTGAATTACGAATATTTTTGAAATATGAGATAAATACTTATACATATGCAAAATATATCAATAATTAGAGATTTAATAATAAAAATTTAACATATTTTCTCTTATATCATATAATTTAATTACATTTTATGATACGATAAATCAAATTACATTAAAATGAAGAGACAACGTTAAACAATTTTGCTATGACTAATTCATTTGCTGCTTGTTCTTTTATCTATTGTATACACATTAATTAAAAGATATAGAAAACAAAGGAAACAATCAACAGTACATTACATTAAACATTACATTAAACATTAAACATTATTATTTGTTTCTAATAAAAAACATTTCTGAAAAATTAAGTTTACTACAAATTATAATAATTCTAACATATTATTATTATTTAAAATACATATAATTATTTTATTCATAAATTAAGTCAAGTTGACAAAATAAACATATTCTAAAATATGTTTGTAAATATTTTGTACAATCTCTTAATTTCTATTTTAAAAATGTATTTATTTCGATAAATGATTATCAAAATAATTAAAAATAAGAAAAACATATCTTTATTATCTTTGTTATCTAAATTATTATTCTGTTCTATATCATTGTCTATTTATCTATATATCTTATTAGAAAGATATGTATGTATTTAAATTATATTAAACATTTAAAATATTTATATAACATTTATGTATATTATATACATTATGTATATTATGTATAATATCAATTCTTATAATTGCATGAATATTTATAATATATTCTAAAATGTTTAACTTATTCTTTTCACTTATACTATATTATTGACCTTTAATTTCAAATTTTACTTTATCTGTATTTTTAAACAAAACACTTTTATAAAAAATTATTTCTTCAGAAATTTAACACTCGGTAAAAAAAATATATATATTTCACATTTATTGTATATTTATTATTTTTGTATATTGTATCTTTATTAAGAAAATAAATTTTTGAAGTAGATAAATAGAAATAAATATTTTTCTTCGCGATTTTGCAAATAAACTTTTTTTGAAATAATGGTTAAATAAAGAAATATATTTTAAATATATTCTCATAGATATTAATATCAGTTCCCAGAAATTATAATACTTCGAGACAATTCACAGAAACATAAATATTAATATTACAAATAATAGTATATATTTTATAAACAACTCGTCTTGAGTATAAGGTATAAGTAATACCATTAGAGAATATTGAAATTATATTAATATAATATAATAATATAATATAATACAATATAAAATAAAAAATTTAATTTTCAATGTCTAAAGAAGAAAAATAGAATATAGTAATTTTTTAATTTGTAATATATTGTTATATAATTATTATATTTATATAATAATTATTGTTTTAATTAAATGGAAAATATAAATATTTTATTTATATCGAATTCAAATAGAATTTGTTAAACAATTATCTGTTCATCAATTTCAATCTTCTCTAAAATATATTATTATTGTTTTGAATAATTTTTCCCTATAGAAGCAGTGTGCAATTGTTTTCGAACTATGCTTTTATTTTTAAATTATTCATAAAAAAATTTTGCTATACTACAAATAATAGCTAAAGATAAAAAATTGATAAATGTATAATGTATTTGTGTTGTTTATATACTTAGATAATATACATATAAGAAATGTAAAATACAGTACAAAAAAAAATACAAAAATATTTGCATTATCTATAAACCAAATGTGAAGAAATATTATTTTTTAATATTTAATATTATTTTTTTATTATAAAAATAATTCTATTCTAATTTAAACGAGTTTAAATTAGAGTTTTATTTATTTAATTAATCTTAATTAATTTAAGAGTTTAAACGATAAATAAATATTATTGATCTTCTATTTTTAATAATTACTTTGAATATAATATAATTGAACATAATAATTATAAAAGAATGGTAAATTAATAATTTTTTCCAGCATTATATATCTTCATCTTTTATTCCTCTATTTATAATTTATATAAACAATATGAAAAAATGTGAATATATTACGAAGTGAAATACTTATATACTAATACATTTTCATGTATAAGCACAATTAAGTAATAAATTCGACCATCAGATATTGAATAGAAAGAAGTGGCTGAAAATAATATTTTCAACATATCTTAAAGCTATTGAAATTAGTGATAATTTTTCGACAAGTTTACTTCTGAGTATAAATAGTACATATTACATGCATGATTTACATTACATTAAATGAAATACTATTTTCAAATAGAATTTGCTTATATAAATATTTATATTTTTCTAATATTTGCTGTAACTTATTTCAAATTTTCTACAATTTTTTTTTTGTAATATACAAGTTTTTAATCGGTCATGGAAAGTGTTTTGTCACTTTCACACAGTTGTTGTCTTTACCGAGAAATTATATTCATAGAAATACAAATTAAGTTGTGACTTATTTCGAGATAAATCTCCTAGGATTAGTGTCATACATATTTTCAGTTTAATTAGTCGTTGATTCGCATTAAAATAAGTATGTAATTTATTAGTTATAACAAGATGAATGAAATGCATATCTGGGTATCGTAAAAATTCGTCCACTGATAACATAAGTTTTTACAAATTTTATTCTCTGTATCTTATGATTTATTTACTCGAAAAATAAATTTTATACATATTATTATATATTCTTTGCATAATTTTATTTTGTGTCTCTATTTATTTTCGATATTTTAATATCTATTTTGTATTTACAGGTGAGTCCTGTACTATTATTGAGAGGTGCTGCTACGGAAACGATAAGTCTGCGAGCCCATTGCGAAGTTTACAAAGGTTACGCATTGAGGGTAAAGTATTATAGACTTTTTCGATATGTTTCCATATGTGTTATAACACGTGTCACGTTAAAAATCAATTTTTTATTTTAATTCAATACAAATATTATTTCACATACGAAAATAATATTTTATAATTTTTTTCGATTACATACATTTATTTTTTAGAATTTGTTAATAAATCCGTAAAATAACAATTACGGAGTAGATTTAATAAAATATTTGTTGTTGGTGAATCTTATTATAAATTTTATGCTAATGAAATATAAATACCATTCATAAAAAATCGAATGTATTTAATAATACATTTCAGAATATAAATAATTAACATTATGATTACAATATGATATTGACATAAATAATTAGCCGTATTGTATTGTAAACATTATTATTTTATTAGCCGTTATTAATTATAAATTTGTTTCAATCATTAAGCAATAACAATAATATTACTGAAAATTGAACTGAATAATTTACGTATTATTATATCAAAATGAAAAATGATATGTTAAAATAAAGATAATTCATTTAATAAAAATTTCTTTCAATTTAAAATATATATATATTACACATTATACCTGAGCTCAATGTCTACATATTTTTTCAGTTGGTTATCTCATATATGTTAAGAAATTTAATAGAAAAATACATTCTTTTATGTAAAATAGTATTAATTTTAAGCTATAACAAGTTAGTGAGTGACATAGATACACATAATAACACAATGTGAATCTTAATTGAAAAAAAAAATTTTCACGAAAGAGTATATTTTGTCCGGTAACAAGTAATAGCCGCCGCGTGTTATTACGTGAAGGATACGTGCATGGAATATCACGTGGTCGCAACAACACGCCTCACTCTCGTGGGGCTACCATCAATTATTCGATGCGCGCTGCCTTCTGCGGCTGCATTTCTCGCCGTGAACACTTCTTACTCTCCTTAATCACCGTAGAGCAGGTCAGTGCACCTGACGAACATTTTACGGCCTTGCTCGACATGCCGTTTAATCGCTGCTGCTTTACGCACACCTCCATAAGCGAGGGAATCGATTAATCTCGTAACTAACGCTATCAGCTATCCTAAGTCCAGCAAAGGCGAAACCAAAATATCGCTTTCGATGCTATGGCGTAAATTAATAAATCCATGAATATTTCTTCGTTTTCGATCCCACTTCTTTCCATTTCATTTTCATTCTTTTATAAATTGATAGTAAAAATCGATAGTACTAAATGGAAAATATACATTGTTATATCGATTTTTTTTTTAATGCACTGTATGTATTTCTATCATTACATATAATGAATATATAAGTATACTTATGTAATAAGTATATAAGTATATTATGTGTGTTAATAATTTATATTGAATATCTTTGGACAATTGATTTGGAGAGATCAAAAGTTGGTATAAAAATATCGATTGAGATTTATTTATTAAATTATAAATAATTTAAATTTATTTATAAATCGATTTATTATTATTTATATAATTTAATAATTAGGTAAAACAAGATCAGAAGATAAAACTAAATTATTTACAATTTAATAAATCTCAAACAATAATTTTTAATTTTTATATTTATTTTGTTTCATTAGAATCTTCAAATATAAGATCAATTCTAATAAACATATTTCACGAATATATTAAATTTATAACATAATAGAAATTAAATACAAGTAAACTTTATTCTATTCAAGAATACAAATTTCGTAGCAACGCATATGTTTATCGATAGAAGGATAGATAAAAAAAGAATGGCCTAATATAGTTTGACATTTAATTGGGGGCTTCAGCAGAACTTATTTATGATGTGTAACCATAGGCGCGTAGGATGTGAACCATCGGAGCTAAAACTTCTACGGAAGAAATAGAGTGGAAGAAATTTCTCTGTGAAACTGACCGATCTTTTGTGCATTCTCGTGAACGATATTCGACAAATAGGATGCAACTTTCCACATTTGAATGCCGAATTTTGATATCTCTTTCGTCATCGATAAACTGGAATATTTTTATTCGTATAATAAACAACTTGAAAAACATAAAATTAACGAAAATATAAATAATCAAGTAAAAATATATTAATATTATTAATTTTATTTAATATGTAATTGTTAAATATGAAATTTTTTATGTATTTTTCATTTTTTTTATATATAATATACAATATATAAATTGAAAAACAATTTGCAGTTTTCTAAAATAATTCATGTTTTATGTTTCAAAACAAAATAACAACTATTAATTTATTTATTCCTCTCGTTTTAAAACGATTTTTTCAAAATATACAATATAAACTGATTTATTTAAAAATCTTTATATCTTTTTTTCCATTTATATATTTTTACCATATATTACTTCATACCATAATCAATATCAATCTTTAAGAAAATCCAATTTTGATATAAAAATATTTAAATCGCTAAAAACATTCCTATATACTTTATTCCTATAATTCGTCTGTATACTCTCTTTCTTTACTTTTTCTTTCTCCTTTCTTCTTTCTTTCTCCTCTTTCGTCTTCTTTTCCTTTGCCTCTCGGCAACTTGGTTGTTGCCCTGCGAACCCTCGGTCATCTTCTTTTTCAACCTTTTGCATTCCCCAAGCCCTGAGAACGCGAAGTCGGCGCACCTACACGATCCTTTTCCGAAGTTAGACTTTTATGAACACGATCTTGTTAGATCTCTGAAGAAAATCAGATTTTCTGAATAGGTTTCTATTTAGCTTTATATTCTTTTTATTTATAAAATTTTTCTTTTCAATTTTCGTGGTCAAAAAGTCTGCGAAAGTTAAAGTTTTGTCTAATTTTTGTTAGAAATAAATTGTGGATGAGCATTTTATTAAAAAATAAGATTGAAAAATCATTTAAAATGAATGTTGTTAATATAAAATAATTTCGTAACGTGAGAATAAGAAAAGAAAATAATGATCGAGAAACATAAATATTTGAATGAAGAAATTTAAATAATAAAATATTGTTGTTTATTTTCAGAAAATAGATAAATATTAATTACAAATGAAATTCCAAATTATTTTAATTGTTAAATCGCATAACTTTTTTTCAACAAATTAATTGGATAATGTTGTATTTCTTTTGTCTCTCATATTTTCAGCTTTATTTCTAAAAATTGTTTCAAAATATTGATACATCACTAAAATATTTCATCATTATCTTTATATCATTTATATTCCATATTATTATTCAATACATATATAATAATAATATAATCAATATAAAAAGTATTTATAGTTACACTTTTCTCATTCTCAAATTTTTATCCGTATTAAGACATTAGATTTGCATTATAATTGGTTACACCGCTAGATTAAATCTTTGCTGATTTTTAGAAGAAATTGCATCGTATATGGATCGCTTTAGATAGAACTGTTTACATATGAAACGTGCTTGGATAACATGAAACATTCGAACAATAGGAAATATCTTCATGAACGTTGGAATTTTTTAATAATCATAAAAAAAAATTGTCCTAATATATTGAACAACCGAAAGCAAAATAATAAATGTGATTTCTTACATACTTCATAAGACAATTGTTAAATATTAATTAGTTGGATTAAAGTGTAAAAGAATTCTAAAATAACTATATATAATATAAAACAAAGTTATTTTATTGATTGATAATTATCCATTAATCGATATTCATTCTTTCCTAATATATTTATTTTCTTTAAATGAACGTATATAATATTTTGATTCGTAGCTAAATAAACTAATATTTGCTACATCAGAATGAAATCAAAAATGTTTAGAATATTAAATAAATAATAAAATTTATAAAAATAAAACAATTAGATACATTTCGATCGTTTCATATTATTTGATATATTTGTAACATTATTTTTTAGAAAATACATTATTATTCGGTTTTTATGCTTTTTGTACTTTTATAATTCTATTTATAATGTTTCAAATATGATAACCACTATTGTTTATTCATTAATGAATAAATTATATTCACATTCATAAATATATATATGAATTCCGATATTTAAAATCTATTTCTTTCTAGCAATCGAACTATACCTATAGAATATATCAGAAATTTTAGGGAAGCATTTAAAAGATTTTTTTATTCTAAATATTGCTTTCTAATTTTTTGTAATTATTATCTTATTAGTTTTTATTTTTAGAAATATGAAATCTTTTTATATAAAAATTTTGTATATAATATTTTTTAATGCTTTCCAGAAAGAAATCGAGTTATGGTAAGTGGTAACAAGTGAGTTGTAAATAGAAAGAAATGAATAAAAACCACGACAGAAATATATTGTGGAATTTGGCATCCAAAGTTTCAATGTTACATCAATTTAAACGAACATTATTTTAAATAGATAACTATTGTAACATGATATTTGCTTATTCCTCTTTTATTTATTATCGGATGATTTTGTAATTGGAATTCATTAAAAAATTCTCTACATCATCAGTAATGAAAAATATAATATTCAATTAAAAAAAAAATGGTAGTAATTTTGGAATCTCTGAAAATCCATTTGTAAAAAAAAAACTATTATTGCTATATTATACTCTTTTATTGTACAATTTTTTCTTAATTTATAATAAATTTTTCTCGAAAGCTTTTCCCTTCTTTATCTCTAAAAATAACGAAGACATTTAAGATAAACAATTCTCTTTTACTTTTTATATTTTACATTTTGTCATAAATCAATATAACAATAGGAAAAATACAGAAAGCTTTTACACAACGTTGCATTTAATAAGGTAAAAGTAGATAATTCCATTCCGTGTTTTCTTTGTTTATTCTTTCTCTCTTATGTGCAAATGATTATCATTCCAAAACAAATAATACTCAGTCTCTGATTTCTGTACTTTATATCCATAATAAATATAGATAGTAACAAATATGCTTTGCATACTCGTGTCACAGTATAAATATGAAAAGCAAACATTATTTATAATATCCTAAACGTTATTTATGGATCTTAATAATATAAACTGTTATTTAAATATTAAAGAAAAATGAAGAAAAAAA